ACGTCGCCGAGAGCGTCGCCTTCTTCCTGGCCGGACCCCTGGCTGGACGAGCTCACGGCGCTGGACATGCTCACGCGAAAGTTGGCGTCGAGAGGGATGGCGGCGGCGGCGGAGGTGGCGGCGGCGGCGCCTCCGCGGAGGTGGAGGACGCTGGCGGCGGGCTCCGAGCTCATGTCCGAGTGGAGAGATCCCGCCGTGGAGGCGTTTTCTAGGAAGAGTTTGGAGGAGGAGTCGAGCGATGGTGCTCCCGGAGAGAAGCTGCGTTGCTGGAGAGCGTAGCGTGGGGGACTTCCGTATGGACTTTGGAAGCGGAAAGCTTCTCGGCCATCCTGGAAGAACGAAGAACGAGAACTCATGAGAAAAAAAAGCTTTTTTGTATCGTTTGATCTTGCAGGAGTACCTGGCGAGGAAGATTATCAACGTTTCCGAACGGGGAGCTCGCTGGAGAGATTCTGGACCACGTCGCGGGGCTGTTTGAGTCCGAGGGAGGACCGCATTCGCTCCTCGAGTCAAATCGCAGGCGTGATAACTGGCCCCCGGAGACAAGAGCTTTGAGTCCCACGAACCACACCTCGGCCTCGTCCTTGTCTTTGCAAATCTGCGAAGAACACTTTTACTCTCAACAAACTTTCCCAAGAACATCACGCCGTACCAGGTCGAGCGAGCGATCGTTGCCATAAATGAGCGAGAACGATTGATACTCCTTCTCTAACCTCGGATATCTCTGAAAGTTGGCCTGCAAAACCAAAAGCTCTCAGCAAACTTTTCCGGGAACCGATGATGGATGAATTCGATCGCCGATTGATCGAGGAAAGAACTTACAGTTCGCTGGCCGGGGACAATCCTTGTGATGGAGCTCAACCGCAAACTCTTCTCCTCCTTTCCAGAGTACCATATCAAGTGTGTTTCATCCTGGAAAAAGTTTGTCACGACTCTACTCGCTCTAAAAAAAAGTGGAGGAAAGATCTTTCGATCGATCGAGCTTTAGCTTTTCACTCACATTGGAGAGCCGGAATGGGCAAAACTTTGGCTTTCCTCGTCTCCCATACTTGAGGAGCTGGGCTCCCTTCTTCAGCGCAGTGATAGCCTTTTACACACGAGAGAAGAGA